AGATGGAATGAGGGTTTAAAGTCAAAGCCTTAACATCACAATTAAACAAAGAAAAAAAGAAAAATATTTAATTGGTGATGAAATGACCGGGGGATGAAGTGACCGAGGGATGAAATGACCAGGAGATGAAATGACCGGGGATGAAGTGACCGGCGATGAAGGGACCGCGGATTAAGTGACCGGGGATGAAATGACCGGTCACCGGGTAGCCCATGCGTCTTGGTCTTTGTCTCGACCTTGCTGATGCGATCCAAAGAAACGCTTCGAGTTACATTTGGGACCTGCCCAGATGCAGAAGCTGCCGGAGGGAATGTCATAGTTGCTATTCCCAACGCCTAAGTGGCCTAACTCCTGATTTTTCCTTGAGGTTGTCTCCTGAAGCCTCAGTACCGCAAGGCAGCGGGGGGTTTAAGTCATAAGAGTACCCCTCTCCTAGATGACCTGTCTTACTAGACTGACGAGCTCCATCTGCCCGAAGCTCCCGGTTTTGTGGCGCCAGGTATCCGCCTTCACCCTTTCACCTGTTAGTAAGAGCAGTTTCGCCGGGCTTAATATCTAAGCCACACACACGAGCAGGCCAGGTGCTGGACTTAGTTGTCAGAAGCTATTTGAGACCCATGCCATTAGGAACATTTTATAGACAACGGGAGCCTGTCTCCATCGACACCCACAGGCCATGACAACCTATGAAACCATGTTTTAACTAATGAAAAAGGAAATGATGTTTTATTACAAATGTTATATCAATTCTGTCTGTCTGTCTGTCTGGTAAAACGTTGTACACGTTATTTATCCCACAACCAATTTTCGGATCAAGCTGAAACATTGGAAAAAAATTTTCTTTTACCAGACAACACAAGAATATAAAAAAAAAAAAATTAACTATTGGTAATTAATTATTTTGTGTGTTATCTTGAACGAGGGAAAGAACTCGTACTTGACAGATGTGGTGACAGATATAAGTTGAATTAGTCCCCTTGATGACTATTGAGCATACTTTTTTAATGTATTAAAAAAAAAAGATTCAGCAAACATTCACTAAGATACCTCCTTCTTCCCTCCCCCTTTCACTAGTCAAGACAAGTAATAGAATCATAGCACATTGAGAAAGCTAAAAGCTAAACCGAAAAAAAAATGGTAAAAATATTTCTAATCGCACAGATTTATTATGCCCAGTCAATCACAAATGTAATGATATGACTGATAGAAACTGATTGATACAATCAATCTTAATATAGGCTTTGATTTTTTAAAATATATTTTTATGTTTTTCTTTTGACTATAACTCATTGTTTTTTTTTCTAGGAAGTCTGGGTTTACTAGCCATTACTTTTTTTTTTTCACACCAACACAACGAGACAATTAACTGTCATGGCGTCCGAAGGTGTGTTATATTTTTGGTGATACATTTTTAAAAACTTTTTTTGTTCCATGTGTCTTGATAGTAAACTAATATCTAAAAGTCATTCTCTGGCACCGCCAGGGGGTTAAGATGAAGATTAATTAAAAAAAAACACATTTCATTGTCGTTGCATTTCTTTTGTCCACTGCCTAAAAAAATGACCATCATTGCAGTTTTTATAACAACAGTAAAGTTTCCCTTTTCACACCTTGCGATCTATGGGGCAGATGATGTTAAGGTCATCTGTTTCTATGGTTAATGGTTCACGAGCAGGGTGTCATGTGTCCAGCACAACGACCAACCGCCTTTGCTTTCCCCCCAACTCAAGTCAGGTACCCATTAGAGTTGGGGGTGGACGCCATTTTACAACAACCACAACAACAAAAAATAATAATAAAGTTTCCCTTTCAGAGCTTATGATATATATTGCAGATAAGGTAAATGTCATCTGTTTCTTATGCCCACGGTTAACGAGGTTGTCATGTCGCAAGCCCAACGACAAACCCCCTTTACTTTCCCGAATTCAAGTACACATTAGAGTTGGGTGGACACAGAGGCGTTCTAAAAATCCCAACATTCAAAATCCCAGTCTTCGCCAGATTCGAACCAAGGCCACTCGGTTTGGAAGCCAAGCGCTTTACCACTCAACCACCTCGCCCCTCCCACCGCAATAATTATAACATTAGTAAGAAATAATAATAATTCTTCATTTTAAAAGTTGATAAATATTAAATGTTCTATTTTCTTTTACATAGACTTATCGCTCTCTGCTAATTGATAAGACATATAATGAAACATTGGTGATTGGTTAACACAGTGATGCCCAACCTATTTCAAGCTGAGGGTCATTTTAATTTCCAACACTAGTGTCGCGGGCCATACGATGAAAAAGATACAAAAAACTTAATGAAATTGACCTGAAACTATTTTAGTTCAAACCCGAGGATCTAGTACATGACATGGAAGTATTGGGAGAGTGGAATCTTCTCTTTACACTTCAAACAAATGACGTAAGTTCTGTTTATAGTTTGTTGTTCTTGTTTTTTTTTTTAAAACCAGCCGCCAGACTTTCTTTATAAAAACAAACATGTTGGCTCGCAATGGTATCATGCTGTACAAGGAAGTAAGAATGCATTCACTCTTCCTAGTAGGTTCTATAGTTCTATTTCATGAACTTTTTAATGATAAATGCCTTGGTAGTAATCCGTTAGAATAATCTACAAGGGCCCTAACGTTGGTAAAGATACACTTTGAGGGTGAATTTTCTATATTTTGTGCTGACGTTTCGGCGGGCCGGAAGGAAGCATATCGCGGGCCGGATCTGGCCCGTGGGACGTGTTTTGGGCATCACTGGGTTAACACATTCGGACACGTAGGAGTTATTTTTCCTACTTTGTTTTTTTCAAGAAGATCTGTAATTTTTATAAGGTAGGAATAGATTTTTAAAATAATTTTACTAAGACAAGAAAAAAAATCTTTGCTGTGGTGAATTATACTATCACTTTATTAAATAGTTTAAAATAGAGACAGAGAGAGAGAGAGAGCTATAAAAGGGGCTACTTTCAATATTACTAAAGATAGTTTATGTATGGTATTATCCTTGAATGTTACTTTGTTTCTGGTCACAACGAGGGAGAATAGTTCGTGTTTTTTTAAATAGTTCGTGTTTTGAATAGTTCGTGTGTTTTAATAGTTCGTGTTTTGTATAGTTCGTGTGTTTTAATAGTTCGAGTTTTGAATAGTTCGTGTGTTTTAATAGTTCGTGTTTTGTATAGTTCGTGTGTTTTAATAGTTCGTGTTTTTTTAAATAGTTCGTGTTTTGAATAGTTCGTGTGTTTTAATAGTTCGTGTTTTATATAGTTCGTGTGTTTTAATAGTTCGTGTTTTTTTTAAATAGTTCGTGTTTTTTTAAATAGTTCGTGTTTTGAATAGTTCGTGTGTTTTAATAGTTCGTGTTTTGTATAGTTCGTGTGTTTTAATAGTTCGAGTTTTGAATAGTTCGTGTGTTTTAATAGTTCGAGTTTTGTATAGTTCGTGTGTTTTAATAGTTCGAGTTTTGAATAGTTCGTGTGTTTTAATAGTTCGTGTTTTGTATAGTTCGTGTGTTTTAATAGTTCGAGTTTTGAATAGTTCGTGTGTTTTAATAGTTCGTGTTTTGTATAGTTCGTGTGTTTTAATAGTTCGAGTTTTGAATAGTTCGTGTTTTTTTAAAAAGTTCGTGTTTTGAATAGTTCGTGTGTTTTAATAGTTCGTGTTTTGTATAGTTCGTGTGTTTTAATAGTTCGAGTTTTGAATAGTTCGTGTGTTTTAATAGTTCGTGTTTTGTATAGTTCGTGTGTTTTAATAGTTCGAGTTTTGAATAGTTCGTGTGTTTTAATAGTTCGTGTTTTGTATAGTTCGTGTGTTTTAATAGTTCGAGTTTTGAATAGTTCGTGTTTTTGATTTTAAAGGTTAATGATGAAAGTTTCCCATGACTAGGCAAACCGTCTGCAACCTGCACATTTTGCCACACCATACGCAGACAAAGCCGTGTCCAACCAGGCGCTTGTTTACGTTTTCTTTGCGTCTTCTGGGTTGAGAACCACTGCTTGGCCTACACTGATTGTTGTAAGCAGGCGGAGCGCTCTATTCCACCACACTCTCGCTTGAAGGCGTCCAGAAGTGCTACTTGCATTAGCTAAATGGTTATATTTTACTCTTCAAAATGATGCGTCATTAGATAGTGTGCTTCCCGCTTACATAAAGGGTGTGCCACCCATAGGGAAACAGAAGACAGTTTAAAAGGACTGTCCAGGATGCAACAGCCAGGCCGATAGGCTACTGCTACTGCACTAAGGCCATAGGAGTTTGAAGAAAACAGCATAGCAATTCAAACGTTATGAATTTTAAAAACGCACTCACTACTGGTCTTGCGAACACCAACAGCCTTGAAAAAAAATCCCTTATGCAGGCGAAAAATTACAGAAATAAGAATCAAAATGAAAACTCTCTTTCAAACCATGAAATAACCATTTTTAAAAATAATGAAAAATTAAAACAAATAAAAAAAAACAACTACTTATATATGATTTATTTTAAACACGTTTCACACACTAAAAACTCAAAATACAAAGGCATCATAAAAACATGTATGTATGCTCTATACTTATTACATTATTTCAAAAGCAAAAAAAAAAAAAAGCAATGTAAGGAATATTTATATTTAAGATGGGTTAAACCAATATTAATATTAGGTTATATGTTGTTGTTTTTACTTCTGAAGAAAACATAAAGAAACTAGAAAGGACACAAAATATAGCCGTCATAACAATTAAACGATTAATATTCTAATTTGACTAAAGTAACAGCGTGAGTAAAATCACAGAATTTAAACACTTCAAGGCAGAAGAGTAAAAAGCAAAGTAGCCATATCACATACAAAATATGACCTAATAAAATACGCAAAGAGATACAACTTTATTAAATGCAGATTTTTAATCCACAGTAGAATTTATTAGGATCTGTATTAAGTTTTCCCTGGGTTGCCGTAAGGGCATAAATCAATCAGAAAAAAAAATCAATTAGTAGGAGTTTTTACAGCTTGTAGTATCCACGACTTGATAAACAAATGAATTATCTTCTTCTCGGTCTGTTATTTATAAAAATGATTAGATAGAAAATACACTAAGACTAGAAGAATAGGGTAAACACTTGGCTTGGCTTAGAACAATAAATAATATTCACTTTGAACGGAATAATCTCGCATAGTATATTTGATATTACACCCATTACAACTACGATCTTCTAGTAACCGAAAGAAATGTTAAAATGTAAAATACTGAAACTAAGCTCAACTCTTTTACATTTTGTTTTACATTCAAAAGCTACTTCATCGTCTGTTCTTATCTCTGTTCACCTTGTTGTAGTCTACTGTATACACTTACGGTTAATTATAAACGGTATGAACGTAGACGAAACAGTTGACTCACTTTCTAGATAAATGATCTTACGGAAAACTCCAGGTAAAGACTTTCGTAGCTGTGGATCGTCTTTGAGTGCTTCACTTCTGACACCATAGATGTAAAGTTTATCCTTGAAAGTGACCGCACCATGAAGTGACCAGTTACAATTCCAAAGTCTGATCACGTGTTCGAAATCAAGTTGGTCTGATTGCGCCTTGACCAGTTTCCAGACATCACCATTGGGCTGCAAGATATAAGTGGCGTGGTCATCTTTAAAACTTATCATTCCTTTGGCTGGACCTTCAAGATTGTTAAGTCTGGCCCAGGTGTTTTTTGAAGTGTCATAATAGGCGATGGCAGTCTCATCCACACCTACCACAGACACAGAGTAGAAGACAAGAATAAGTTGTTCGTATGTCATTATGTGACAAATTGGTTGATCATCCGGAATATCAGCCAATCTGGCATACGAAAGTGACTTTGGATCGAGTTGCCAGATGCTCTTCATTTTGCAATGTAACATGTAAATGAAATTATTTACTACTGCCACAGAGGGTATGGCTAAATGAAACATTTTTAAATCTAAATATTTTCCAATGTTTTCAAACCAGTTATTTTCTATTAGCTGAAAATGTGATAATAAATTTTTATCCTCATTGTAACAACTATTTTCATTGATAAAGAAAGAATATAAAGACTTGTCAACGGCGGCCAAATGGGCTACTTCTCTTCTTGGGATATTATTGAAATTAGTAGTGACCCATTTATTTCTTGAAAAAGAAAACACTTTTATCTGAGGGATGGTATTGGGTGGCTGCTCAGCGGCTATAGCAACATTTTCATAACAACTGCTGTTTCTGTGAATAGCAGCTGTTGGCCATTGGCCGTTTCTTTTGCCAATCTGAAGCTGATAAAGCAGGGCTTGTGTGATGAGATCTCTGGTCTGTTTGTCGCTGGCGACCAGTGGATGTCCAAGCATAATCACCAGGCATTCATGACAAGCAAGACATGTTCTCGCTCTAGACATCAGAGCAAACAGATTATGTTCTTTAATACCAGGATTTGCGAGAATGCATCCGGACGTGTTCTCCTGTGAAGATTTCGAACATTCTGTTTCATTTCCTTCCTTACGAGAGACCAAATCCTGAGCGTATTCCTTGTCTTGAACTCCTGTACTATTAACTCTTTCACTGCTTGGGTTATACTCAACCCATTTCAGTATTGCTTTTAAGACGTCATCTTCAGAGCTGACAACTAAATCCTGACTTTCTACAAATCTTAGAACATCAGACATCGGGAGTTCAAGGAAATATTGTTCTTTAGAGAATGTGGTAAAATTTTTTAGAACGAATGCCCACACTACGTCAAACACAGTAACGGCGTTTAAATATTTACCAACTTTATAATAGTCAACATAATTCTGTACAGAGAGAGACTTAATGACAAAATTTTCACATTCTTTCATTAAAAACTCTATCCCCAACCGATGAGCAACCCTCCAGATGTCAGTGACATTGTCATTTGTCAAAACACCATGTCCAGTGTAAATAGATTCCAGGATCAACTCAAAAGTTTCGCTAGAAATATCTTCGAAGTTGACATTCTTTAATTCAGTTTCTTTCATCCCGGATCTAAAAAGTCCTCTAAAAAACCCAGAACAAGCTGCCAGAAGAAACCTATGACACCCAAACTTTGTTGTACCAATCGTGACAGTAAAATCTTGTAGCTCTTCACATTTCCAGAAGTCACTCAAACCTTGGACAATGCCGTAGGCTACTTCTCGTTTGATCACCATGACGTTCTGATCTGTGGATATTGATTAAATAACATTTATCTTCCTAGCTTGTGACAAGATAATGATGTTTATTTTAATTTTGAATTCATATTAAAGAAGACTAAGTTATTACACTTTAAAGATAATTTTAAGCTTTTTATGTTGTCTGTTATTTTTTAAACACGGAGAAATAAGACGTCAACTTATAACATTCCCTTTCGTTATTGCCATCTGAAAGAATTATTTCCAATACGATCTATGATAGATTAAATTTTCGATGACGTTATGTAATCTTTAACCTGCATGAGCCCAAGCCGTAGAGTCCCTTTTGTGTGCTCTAACTGGTTCATTATTTAGTTTCATTTATTTAGTTTTTAGCGGCGAACGTTTTTTGTTGAGATTCACGTCAAGAAAACAATAAGCGTACAATTTTCACTCTATGTTGGCAAACGAAAAAGTTGAAATACATGTCTTGTAGTTTTAGCTTGTAAACAGTCATTCATTCACTACATTTTATACTTCACACAGAAATGAATGATTCTTCTAACTCGCCGTTCTCTTTTAATTGGGAAATTTAGGTAGAGATCGAGCGGATTAATGGTATAAATCAGTGGTTCTCAACGATTGGAGAAGGAGGTCTATTGTTGTTGTTCAGCCTCCTCAAGCCAATACGGTAACCACTGTGCCAGGGCGCTGCTTATGAAAATAGGTTTCAGAGATATTTATAGTTATTTAAAATTTTAAGGAGCTGCTTATGAAAATATGTTTTATAGTTAATTACAGTAATTTTCAATTTTAGTACTGCAACCCCTTTTTCAATTACAGAAAAGAAAATTTTGCTAATGTTATTAAATCATAATCCTAGTTTAAATATCTTATATGAATAGCAATTCTTTTCGATATCTTCCTTAAAGAATAATGAAAGATGCTCTCGAGGACTACGAAAGTTCGGTAAGCATTAAAGGATGACACATTACTAGTTTGCGGACATAGATGGTCTGGCAAGCAGGGACACAAGAATTAGCTGACTTGGTGATGCACATAGACATGACTTTCGCGGTATATGGTATGCAAATTAATGCAGAAAAAAAGGGCTTTTTAAATTTAAAAAGGGACATCAGCATTGCTGGCGAACGGTCAAACTAGAGTGTTCCCATTATGGCAATTAGCTAGTAATTCTTTTCCTTAATATATACATCAACTGTCAAATTCAATAGTAAGGATGCCTGGTTGTGCGGTATACGCGCTGGACTGTCGTTCAGATTTTTCGATGGTTCCGGGTTCATACCCTGCCAGGGAGGTTTGGACTAGGAAATAGATTATCTTCAACTCTGAGGGAACATCCGAAACACGTACAGCATTTTTCAAAAAGACAACTTCTAGAAAAATCGTTAGAGCTGTTTTGGAGAGCTGTGTCCACCCAGCTTCCTGTTTCCATGAAAAAGTTTCCAGCTGAAAAGAGGAATCGAAAATGGAAGAGCATTCTAAAGTTTAATTATGAGAACTTATAAGGAATATCGGTAGAACCTCTGATTAAACCCTAACAAATTACCACCAATTATAAAAAAAAAAAATAGCTGCGCACCTGAGTTATAGTCATGTGTATCAGTCACACACAAAATAATTGATATTTAAAAAAAATAATAATAACAATTCCAGGAACAAAATAACAAAACATCGAGCTCCACTATTCACTTATCTAACTCATCCGTATCTTATCTTATAAAATACAGACGTTACTTCATAAAAAAAGATGATATCGTCCTAAGAGTCCTGCATATAGTCATGCATGTTAACCAATGACTTAAATTCTGCCAAGTCACTATTTTTCCTGGCTGGCTCAGGCAACCCATTCCATGCTCTAATAGCACTAGGGAAGAAGGAGTATTTCTACACATTTGTCCTAGCACGTGGAACAAGGAATGTGCCTTTAGTAGTGGTAATAACAAGAGACCCACATTGCATTCCATGTGTTTAGGTTTACAAATGTGACGTTGTATCGCCACATAAATCTCGTGTGTAAGTCGCGGTAATAATCAACCAAAAAAGCATTTGTCAACAAGTCGACTAGAGTTTTCCAAAGAAATATCTGAGTCACTGAGGTGACTACACATCATTCGTGTATTTTATTACCCATGAAATACACAAACAAAAGCCTAAATCATAAAAGAATCGCATTGGGTTTAGATTTAGATCTGCATCTATTTAGCCTTGATGCACGAAGAATACTTCTGGCCTAATTAAGAATATGATTGAACGGATCTAGATTTACATTTAATAGAAGTTAATACACGAAAAAAAACAAAATTATTAATAAAATAGAAGCTTGATTGATAACAGTCGCTTACCTCAGTAATACAGCTTATCAAATATAAGACATGCACTAGATCTTGGCTCGGCCGACGACAAATGAATGTAGGTCATTGCTTTCCTAGAAATTGTTTTCCTAGAAATTGTTTTATTCTAAACTCATTCGTTAACTTTCGCTTTCATTCTGCTCAAGCGTCTTTTTTTCTCTCACTCTCTCTTTTCTCTCCCTCTATTTTTTTATTTCCTCTCTCTCTCTCTCTCTCTCTCTGCCAAATAATTGACCTGAAAAGGCCGGGAACTACGATATTTAGTTTTACCCGTTACTCCTTCTGTCTACGTCTTCTCACTATGTCGTGTAAAATTATCATGTGGGGATAAATAACAAGTAGCGCTGATGAAAGTTACATTTTGCCTTGTATATAAATTCATTGATTGACTGTACTAATAAATTAAATACATTGAACAAGAAAACGATTTCAATTATGATTAATGTCACACACTGAGTTAGCCAACCTTTTAAACCACTGTTTTTAAAAACACTGGCCCTATATTCTGTTCTTGTATGGGATGCCTGACATTTTTTTGGGGGGGGGGGAATGCCCGATATTTTGTTATTTTTGGAGTACCCGATATTTTAATTTAAAATATTGTTTTTGAAAATCCATTAATGCTTCTACAGAGCAGCCATATCTCATAGCCAAACAGAAATGTTGTGAGAACCACTGCTTTGTATACCTTGTTAGAGCCAACTTGCTTTACCTAACATAGAAGAGAGCACCTGGTTGTAGGCGGCTTCAGAACGAGACAGCTAGAGGTC